ATTTGATTAGTTCTTTCTTTAGCTGTTGACAAATGTTTGCTAAAACATGGCCTTGAACTGACCTTGCAGGGTTGGGGGAAGTATGCCGGTGGTGTTTACCTACTACACCGAGTTTCAGCACAAGTCCAAACGTGGAGCCATGATCAGTCTCCTGGCCACTTTCTGGATGGCGGGAAATATTGTCGCCGCAGGTAAATACATCTCATTATCTGTGCCACTGTCTGAATTAGGATTCAGGTTTCTGAACACAAATGCTACAGAAGCATTTTACAAATTAGTTATTTAGAACAGAAAACTAATAAATATGTCAGAGACAAACAAACAAATGTGCAGGACATCAGGAGTCTCTTCGGGCAGTCGTGACAAATCAACAAGCTAGCTTGGTTTGGGCATGTGGTGAGTCATGGTTCAATTGCAAAGACTGTGCTTCATGGAACATGGAACAGGGAGGGGGGGGGGAGGCATAGTTGAAGAAGAGCAGAGCAAAGAAGAAACTGGAATGACATCAAAAAATGGACAGGACAAAATCCTGATACACTTGTTTAAAGCAAGATGGTGGCTTTTGGGTGCTAGTGCTTCCACTGAAAAATCTCCGCATCATTTTTGGCTCAAGGGTTATGTTGTGTTATGTTATGTTATGTTGTGTTATGTTATTTTGTGTTGTGTTATGTTATGTTGTGTTAAGTTATGTTATGTTATGTTTGTCCATGATAAACCTTTAAATTGTTGTAATATTCCCAACATTCATCTCTGAAACCACACCTTCACTGACTCAACTTTCTATAAATATTTCAATATTTGCTCAGCAAATTACGCTCACTCAAGTCATTATTCAAACACCATCCTGTATCCACATTACTGCCTCACAGAACACTTGTTATCTTGTATCCACATTACTGCCTCACAGAACACTATTCTTGTTATCCTGTATCCACATTACTGCCTTACAGAACACTTGTTATCTTGTATCCACATTACTGCCTCACAGAACACTTGTTATCCTGTATCCACATTACTGCCTTACAGAACACTTGTTATCTTGTATCCACATTACTGCCTCACAGAACACTATTCTTGTTATCCTGTATCCACATTACTGCCTTACAGAACACTTGTTATCTTGTATCCACATTACTGCCTCACAGAACACTTGTTATCCTGTATCCACATTACTGCCTTACAGAACACTTGTTATCTTGTATCCACATTACTGCCTCACAGAACACTATTCTTGTTATCCTGTATCCACATTACTGCCTCACAGAACACTATTCTTGTTATCCTGTATCCACATTACTGCCTCACAGAACACTATTCTTGTTATCCTGTATCCACATTACTGCCTCACAGAACACTATTCTTGTCATCCTGTATCCACATTACTGCCTCACAGAACACTATTCTTGTCATCCTGTATCCACATTACTGCCTCACAGAACACTATTCTTGTTATCTTGTATCCAGTTTTGTTACTTGTTACCTGTATTGACATCCCAGCTCATCAGTCCAACCTATTTATGCTCCCTCCCCACATACAGCAGCCATCTCAGTATCTCCATGCTGAACATAACCAGTGGGAGTCGACTGTCAACTTTCTTTGTCCCACGACAGGTTTCTGTATGCTTGTCCTTGTTCAATATCCATTTCTAACAGTCTCATCATCTCTGACTTCTTTAACTTAACGTCCCAGGAACGCAGCACATTCAGATTGTCTGTACTGTACATACTTCTTTCTACACTAACTACTGCAGATTGACCAGTCTGTCGGCTCTTTCATTTCCTTTCACTCCAGCATTTCCTGATGTGTACATCCAAAGTAGTTTATAGATGAAAGGTGTTCTGGAGGCTGTCAACCCATTTTAGTCTGAGTTTTTCAGTTTGGATTTTCTTAAGTATGCTCATTGAGTCTGTCACTGTCAGTGCATGTACCCGCATGTGTATACAGCATACCGTCATACAGGACCCAGTTCATGCAAACCTCACACAGGACACAGTTCATGCAAACCTCACACAGGACACAGTTCATGGAAACCTCACACATCACTCACCTTCACTGTGGATCACTCTTTGAAACTTAAAAATCCAGTTCTGCTACCAGGAGGTGATAAAAAATGGCAGTTAATTGTCAGCTTGTCGTCCTATGTTTTCTCCCCAGGTCTGGCATGGATTGTGATACCACGAGAATATCTGAGTTTTGTGTCCGGGGATTTCACATTCCACAGTTGGAGGGTGTTTGTGGCCCTGTGCACCATCCCTAGTATCACCTCGGCAGCCATGTTTGTTCTGATGCCAGAGAGCCCAAAGTATTTGTTGCAGGTAAGAGCAGAGCTGCAGGTTATATTTTTTCTTTGGTTTCATGTTTATATTGTTGCTTGTACTACCATTCCTCTTTCATTATTTCATTCATACATCATTTCAGTCTCACATCATTTCATTCATACATCTGCTAACAGAGAGAAAACTAGTCGCCTCTCGCCGTTATGCATTAAAAAAAAAATTATCTTGTATTTTCAGATGGGCAGGGAACAGGATGCAATAGCAGTTCTGTACAACGTACATGCTTCCAACAAGTCGACCGCTGCACTACAGGTAATCACTTTATCGGACATTTTTAGTTTGCCAGGTTAAACTGTTTTGTTTTTTTAAACTCTGTCAGGACCAAGAGGAATTACAGCATTGTAAAATATTTCATATTTTATTTCAAGTGTAATATGTTTTTTATTCTTCTTCTGTGCTCGTCTGAGGTCATCATTGCATTGTGCCCATTTACTTCAAGGCTCTGACTGTTGTGCCTTTGTTACCCGAGTTAGCCTTTTTAAGTATAGCACATGAAAGTCAGCATTTCTGGCTTAGAAGTTAGGAACACAGTTTCATAGTCATGACATACTAGGGTTTGAACTGTGGGCAGTTTGGTTGCAGACAGATCTGCTTTTATTTAGACAACGGTAAAAAAAACTGCTAGTTGTTGTTGTCTTGACCACTTTTGTGGTATCGGGGTGGGGGTGGGGTTTCTCTGAGCCTGTGGATTTAGGGCTGTAGTGCTAGTGCTGTCGCCACAGACTGTGCAGGATTTTTTTTGCCTCTGACAGAAAAAATCTCCAGCCTTACTGAGGATTCGAACCTGGGTCTCCTGCATGAGAACCCAGCGTTCTTCACCATTCGGCCAGCCACTTGTCTTTGACAACAGAACGAGCATCAAACCATTCAGAAAGCACTGCCAAAATACTAAATATAAAATTGGTCTAGTATCAGTTCAAATATCAAGCAGAGGATGGGATTGGTTTGTGAAGTCCTGTCAAAGATATTGAGTTAACCTGAACGTGTTAAAACAGACCATACAACTATGGCAGTTGTGCACTGTACACATATTACAAATCAGAATGACCAGGATGGGTTTTGGGTTAAATTTTGTTATACTACTTCTTCTCTTGTCTCTTCTTGTAATTTTTTCTCCCGGCATATATACTCTGACTTTAAAGGAAGTCTCCAATTAGTCTGCTCTGACAACATGCATGTTGGGGAGGCAGTGGGTCTGTTGTTTTCTCCACAATGGGGGGTTGGAACCCACACAAGGATGGAGGTTTACGGGGGGAGGAGGGGTGTCAGTCCAACATTTTTAACCCCCCCCCCCCCTTTCTCCCAGCACCAAGATGGAGACACTTCCTAGGCTGAATCTTATTATGCTGCTACTAACAATAATTGTTATTAGTGAATTATTACACAAATATTTGAGTATTGACCTGAGTGCTGCAAGCTGCAGAGATGTGGTTTGTTTGGAAGTATTAAAAGAATACCGGACAGATGAAGAAAAAAAGGATTTGAATGGAAGTATTAAAAGAACACTGGACAGATGAAGGGGAAAAAAAGGATTTGTATGGAAGTATTAAAAGAACACTGGACAGATGAAGAAAAAAAGGATTTGTATGGAAGTATTAAAAGAAAACTGGACAGATGAAGGAAAAAAAAGGATTTGTATGGAAGTATTAAAAGAACACTGGACAGATGAAGAAAAAAAGGATTTGTATGGAAGTATTAAAAGAACACCGGACAGATGAAGAAAAAAAGGATTTGAATGGAAGTATTAAAAGAACACTGGACAGATGAAGAAAAAAAGGATTTGTTTGGAAGTATTAAAAGAACACCGGACAGATGAAGAAAAAAAGGATTTGAATGGAAGTATTAAAAGAACACTGGACAGATGAAGGAAAAAAAAGGATTTGTATGGAAGTATTAAAAGAACACTGGACAGATGAAGGGGAAAAAAAGGATTTGTATGGAAGTATTAAAAGAACACTGGACAGATGAAGGGGAAAAAAAGGATTTGTATGGAAGTATTAAAAGAACACTGGACAGATGAAGAAAAAAAAGGATTTGTATGGAAGTATTAAAAGAACACTGGACAGATGAAGGAAAAAAAAGGATTTGTATGGAAGTATTAAAAGAACACTGGACAGATGAAGAAAAAAAGGATTTGTATGGAAGTATTAAAAGAACACTGGACAGATGAAGAAAAAAAGGATTTGTATGGAAGTATTAAAAGAACACTGGACAGATGAAGGGGAAAAAAAGGATTTGTATGGAAGTATTAAAAGAAAACTGGACAGATGAAGGAAAAAAAAGGATTTGTATGGAAGTATTAAAAGAACACTGGACAGATGAATGGGGAAAAAAAGGATTTGTATGGAAGTATTAAAAGAACACTGGACAGATGAAGGAAAAAAAAGGATTTGTATGGAAGTATTAAAAGAACACTAGACAGATGAAGAAAACAAAAGGATTTGTATGGAAGTATTAAAAGAACACTGGACAGATGAAGAAAAAAAAGGATTTGTATGGAAGTATTAAAAGAACACTGGACAGATGAAGGAAAAAAAAGGATTTGTATGGAAGTATTAAAAGAACACTGGACAGATGAAGAAAAAAAGGATTTGTATGGAAGTATTAAAAGAACACTGGACAGATGAAGAAAAAAAGGATTTGTATGGAAGTATTAAAAGAACACTGGACAGATGAAGGGGAAAAAAAGGATTTGTATGGAAGTATTAAAAGAAAACTGGACAGATGAAGGAAAAAAAAAGGATTTGTATGGAAGTATTAAAAGAACACTGGACAGATGAATGGGGAAAAAAAGGATTTGTATGGAAGTATTAAAAGAACACTGGACAGATGAAGGAAAAAAAAGGATTTGTATGGAAGTATTAAAAGAACACTAGACAGATGAAGAAAACAAAAGGATTTGTATGGAAGTATTAAAAGAACACTGGACAGATGAAGAAAAAAAAGGATTTGAATGGAAGTATTAAAAGAACACCGGACAGATGAAGAAAAAAAAAGGATTTGTATGGAAGTATTAAAAGAACACCGGACAGATGAAGAAAAAAAAAGGATTTGTATGGAAGTATTAAAAGAACACCGGACAGATGAAGAAAAAAAAAGGATTTGTATGGAAGTATTAAAAGAACACCGGACAGATAAAGAAAAAAAAAGGATTTGTATAGAAATATTAAAAGAACACCGGACAGATGAAGAAAAAAAATGATTGAAGATGTCTCTAAGAAATTAACTCATGAAGAGAACTGGCGACCTGTATCATAAACAGACCATTTTTAGTATCATTTCTCACTCGGTCTAGGGGGGGTTAAGTGGATGGCTTGTCTAAGGCGTTTCATCTCACAGGTGTTAATTTGACATGAGTTAGCCTTTGAGTTTCACATCATATCTAACTGGAGATGCATAAATCTGTGGCAGCTGGACGCACTTGTCCTCACAGACGAGCAGGTCGACACGTACGTGGCTCAGACTAATCATATTATCAAGAATAGCTCTGGAGGCTGTTGGAGAAAAGTCCGCATTAGCATGTTACGGGTAAGTTACGCTGCCTTCTTATTTTCTTCTTTCTGTTCTTTTTCTGCATTTGTCTATTTGCTTTTTTTAAATTAGTTCTTTAATTAGTGTACAAGAAATATTACTGAAAGATTAAGTGGGAGTTGATAACAAAGAAGAAAGAATATAATTTAAAAAGGAATGACGATATCTTCTAAGAAATTAACTCATTAAAAGAACTGGTTATCCATATCAGGAGGAGTTAAATTTTATTAGATATGTCGAGAGAAGGGAGAAGACTGGAGTAACCGACTCCAAAATAGACCCAACCCTTTGTCACTTCTGATTACATCCCAGAAGGGTGCAATGATACAATTTTATTTTAAGTTCTTGCAAGAGTCTCTGTAGCAATCTTGAAAATAAAAATATGTACTTATACGTCACGTCTAAAGTCAGGAATGGGTCCTTAACAACTGCAGCAACTACCACCACCAAAACTTTAAATTCTGTCACAAACCGCACTGCTGGCTCAAGTTTTGCCATGTTTGCTTTCAGCTTGAATGCTTCCCGCCTTATTCCTATTCTGCTCGTCCACCTCGTCCTCCTCTTCAAGTATGTCTTCCCAGAAAGAAACATTGGATTTCCCATTCCTCCACTGTGGTATTGTTTTGTGTGTGGATTCTAACTGTGGTATGGGGCACCAACTGTTCAACAAGCAGTGACAAACTAGTGAAGGTCAAATTGTCTAGTAAACCCACAATTGGCCCACAATTGCTGGGGGTGGTTTGTGACATCCTCTAAAAGATATACAACTAACAAGCAAACGTACTAATACTCGTATTTACTCCACAGATTTTTCAGTCTACAGTCGTTTTATTCAAACGACCTCTGCTGAGGACCACAGTTCTGCTCCTTATTATCAACTTTGCTCTGGCTTTCGGGTATGTATGTGAGAATTATGGATCAGCTAATTGATTGATTGCAGTTCCGGCTTCAGGGCAAACAGGTCAGCCCATAACTGCTGCTTTCCTCAAGCTGAATGCTGAATAATGTCCCTTGGGAAACAAAATTGAAACAAACTGCACTCTTGACAAAAATCGATAGCATATACATGCATTAAATGCATAAGGCAGCCATAAAAAGTGCTAGAAGTGCAGTTTGACATCAGTGGAAGCAGCAGTTACAATGAATTAATAGTTGTCGACACAGTGTCCCATAAAGCACCACCATTCTGTGGCAACAGGCCACTCACTGTTTTCTCAGTCTCCAGTTCACAACATAAACAATGTTGAGTACAATCAAAGAACATTCCAAATTAAATCTGTAGCTTGTATTGTCATGCCATATAGAACCAATGAGACAATCCTTTAAGTAACAGATAACAACTGAAACACCATTGAGACAATCTTTTCAGTAACAGATAACAGAAACAACAATGCGACAATCATTTAAGTAACAGATAACAGAAACACCAATGAAGTCGTCAATTCAAGAAACAGATGACAACAGAGAAACCTATCAGGCAATCCTCCAAGAAACATGGAAACTATAAAGTGATTAAAGAGTTTAAACTGTTTTGGCAATTTATGAGAAATAAACTTTAAACCCCAGGAACAACTGGCAGACTTGATGGGAAAAGAGCAAGGGAAAAAGAGATAAACTATAATCCCTAGACCAACAACAGCTTGACAGTTTCTGCGATTCCTTGATTCTTTGTTCAAATATGAACTGAGACATTGTCAGATATGGTCTTGTCTTTGCATCCACAGTTACTACGGCCTGTTTATGTGGTTTCCGGAACTGTTCAGTAGAATTGAGAAATACGGAGGCAGCTTTTGTGATGTCAAGGTAAGCTGATTCTAAATCAGAGAGTGACTCTCATGATAGCTACTTGGTGGATTCTGTTGATGTTGGCTTCTATAATGTTTTTTCTTCCTCCCTTATTCGGCTTTTACCTAAAAAGGCAATTAGCATGTTGTTTTTGTGCTTTCAGCCCAAACACAACCGATTTCCACAAACACTAAGTTATTCATCTGTTCTGGCATGCATGTCGAGGGGGGATAGGTCTATTCCTTTCCCCCCAGAACCAACATAAGAACAGAATAGTCAAATAATAATATGACAGTAATGTTTGAACCCACAGACTGGTAACTCTACGGGAAACAGCACCGACTGCGAGCCACCTAGTGATTTTATGTACGTGGAGAGTTTCCTCACCTCCATCTCCAACTTGCCCGGAAACATTCTCAGCATACTCATTGTGGAGAGGGTGGGGCGGAAACCTCTGTTAGGTATGTGATTCTCTCTGGCTGTCTGTCTCTATCTCTGTGTGTGTGTGTGTGTGTGCTTGTGTGCGTGCGTGTGTGTGTGTGACTGTTTGTGTATCTGTGTATGTATGTATGTATATATGTATGTATGTGGATGCATATGAATGTTGGTGTATATGTGTGTGTGAGTGAGTGAGTTAGTTTTTTCAGCCCAACAGAGCCAATTTCAGCAAACTCACGTTTACAATATGCTTATATGGGAGCAGTGGATTAGTTCTTGTTTTCTTCCCAAAACTGGGGTCTGAGAACACACTTGGAGTGTTGTAGCTTGTGATCTTTGCAGACGGACTCAAAGCATTGGTAATTTGGGGGAATCCTGTAATTCTCAGATGATAAACACTTTAACATTTAGGAAGTGTGTGCCTGGAAAATGCCTTATATCTGTCACAGTGAGGCTGATGTCAAGAATTGAGTTCCCGCCCCATACCACAGTTTCATGGGGACAGTGTGGAAGAGATATGCTTCAGTTCTCCAGCCTAGGAGGTTTGGTAGTTTGTGCATGACTGCAACGTCACAGATGCTACCACACATTAGTACAAGAAAAGAAAGTAACAATTTCTCATCAGTTCTTGATACTGGCCTCTTAAAGCTCTGAAGACAGAGTTATTTATTGTGGCTCGGCAAGAGATCTATCTTTTAGGCCACTGCTATGTCACGTTTGCCTTCTGTCTGATATACTAATTCATTTCAGCAAGGAATAGTTACATTTTAATGGGAATGGGGGGGGGGGGGGGGGGGGGGGGAAACCAATTTCCACTCAACAAGCATCTCGTAAAAGTTACATGTTTTCATTGAAGTCAGAGTGCATCTGCTTGAGAGCTGAGAACCAACAGTCTGTATACAAATAAACCAGATCTGTGAAATCGGATGTGTACCACAACTTTGGTTTTGGAATTAGATTAAAGTCTAGAAGTGGATGAACAACCAGAAATTTCCACCAGAGTTTACAGCTGGTGAACACGAAGAAAAGACAAACAAATCCACCACCCAAGCCACCAGAGTTTACAGCTGGTGAACACGAAGAAAAGATGAACAAATCCATCACCCAAGCCACCAGAGTTTACAGCTGGTGAACACGAAGAAAAGACAAACAAATCCACCACCCAAGCCACCAGAGTTTACAGCTGGTGAACACGAAGAAAAGATGAACAAATCCACCACCCAAGCCACCAGAGTTTACAGCTGGTGAACACGAAGAAAAGATGAACAAATCCACCACCCAAGCCACCAGAGAAGTGCAAGACAAATACAGAAAACCACGACACTGGGCTACAACCTGGTATCAGTGAGACGACAAGACCACGACACTGGGCTACAACCTGGTATCAGTGAGGCGACAAAACCACGACACTGGGCTACAACCTGGTATCAGTGAGACGACAAAACCACGACACTGGGCTACAACCTGGTATCAGTGAGACGACAAGACCACGACACTGGGCTACAACCTGGTATCAGTGAGACGACAAAACCACGACACTGGGCTACAACCTGGTATCAGTGAGACGACAAAATCACGACCCTGGGCTACAACCTGGTATCAGTGAGACGACAAAATCACGACACTGGGCTACAACCTGGTATCAGTGAGACGACAAAACCACGACACTGGGCTACAACCTGGTATCAGTGAGACGACAAGACCACGACACTGGGCTACAACCTGGTATCAGTGAGATGACAAGACCACGACACTGGGCTACAACCTGGTATCAGTGAGACGACAAAATCACGACCCTGGGCTACAACCTGGTATCAGTGAGACGACAAAATCACGACCCTGGACTACAACCTGGTATCAGTGAGACGACAAAATCACGACCCTGGGCTACAACCTGGTATCAGTGAGACGACAAAATCACGACCCTGGGCTACAACCTGGTATCAGTGAGACGACAAAATCACGACCCTGGGCTACAACCTGGTATCAGTGAGATGATAAAACCACGACCCTGGGCTACAACCTGGTATCAGTGAGATGATAAAACCACGACCCTGGGCTACAACCTGGTATCAGTGAGATGATAAAACCACGACCCTGGGCTACAACCTGGTATCAGTGAGATGATAAAACCACGACCCTAGGCTACAACCTGGTAACAGTGAGACGACAAGACCACGACACTGGGCTACAACCTGGTCTCAGTGAGATGACAAGACCACGACACTGGGCTACAACCTGGTATCAGTGAGATGACAAAACCACGATACTGGGCTACAACCTGGTATCAGTGATATGACAAAACCATGACACTGGGCTACAACCAGGTATCAGTGAGACGACAAAACCACGACACTGGGCTACAACCAGGTATCAGCGAGACGACACAAAAAACCTGGTATCAGTGAGACAGGACAAGACCACGTGACTTAGAAGCAGAAGAATAACACGAAGAAGAAGAAAACCAAAAAGTAAAGTTCCTCTTTTCTTACGTGGAAACATCTAGAATATGTGAGGTTCAAGGTGAATATTTTTATAGACTAATTAGCACTCAATTGGTGACGTAGTATTTATCTCACTGGTCACCGATATTTCCCATTACAGTTGTAGTTAGTACATCTTCCATTCTGCTTCCGCCCAAAAGTCCAAGCCAAGTCAACAGGGTGACCACAAGTCACGTTATTGCATGGATAGTTTCATTGTATGGCCAGATTCGCACTGTCCCACCGATATTCAACGTCAGTTGGGACAATAGTTGTTTTTTTCTTTACTATCGACCCAACGTTCTGAGCCTGTCCCAACGATATGGTGACCTTAGTTTTTTTTGTGTGTGTTAAAGTCCAAGTGAGGTCAATTTTGATTAAAATCCCTTCTTTGACAAGTATGCTAAGGGACTGAGCTACCACCGCTCCACCCATAGGCACTTGATGATGATTGTGTTCTGTGAGGATTGAAGTTAAACATAATATCTTTCTCACCAGCTGCTAGCATGGTGTTCTCTCTGGGGTCTCCGTCTTCTTCCTGTGGTTGGTGAAGACAAACTGGCAGAATGTGCTGATGTCTTGTATATTTTGGGGAGGACCGTGTCTGTCTCGTGGCTTCAAACATGCTGGACGTCCTGCAGACGGAACTCTTCCCAACAGACGTCCAGAGTCAGACCTACTTTGTCAGCAACTCTTTGTATTATATACACAAAGACACAAGACGTGACTTGATCATTTCATTTTCTTTAATTCGTTTAGTCAGTTCAGTATCATAGATGGAATCCAGACCAGTAGCTTTGGCCTCTCTCATCAGCGTTCATCAAAATATATGCATGTGTGTTATCTATACATCAAATTGTGTGATTATCTACATTATACATACACACGTGTGCTCACACATATACACACGCACACATACACACACATACACATGCACACACACATACACATGGACACACATACACACACATATGCACACACATGTACACTCACACACAAACATACACATACACACACATGCACATACACACATAAATACACACATGCACACACACACACACTCATATCCACAACTGCACACGATACAACACATAAACACACACACATGAGCCACACACACATAGCACACGCATCACATATACACACTCACATACACACACACCATACCTACACATAACATCCCGGGACCTTGCCGACCAATACACAGCTACCAGCACCACACTCACACCCACCCGACGACATTTACAGGCACACACACACACATACACACACACATACACACACGCACACTCTACACTAGTAATTTCTTAAATAACAAATAGCCATCAAACCTTTTAAAAAAATATAAAACAAATAACCAGTGATCTATATATTGGCTGTAGTGTATGTTTGAGTCTAACGTTTCTGTACATAATTTATAAATTGGATATATGAACCTATAGCCTACCAGACAGGCAAAGTTAGGCTTACAGAATAACCCAATTGGCTGTCAAAGCAGTTGAAAAAAAAAATGTGTAGCATTATGTGTGGGACAGCTAGGCATAGAGATCACATAGCTGGGCATAGAGATCACATAGCTGGGCATAGGGATCACATAGCTGGGCATAGGGATCACATAGCTGGGCATAGAGATCACATAGCTGGGCATAGAGATCACATAGCTGGGCATAGGGATCACATAGCTGGGCATAGGGATCACATAGCTGGGCATAGGGATCACATAGACATAGGGCATAGAGATCACATAGCTAGGGCATAGGGATCACATAGCTGGGCATAGGGATCACATTAGCTGGGCATAGGGATCACATAGCTGGGCATAGGGATCACATAGCTGGGCATAGAAGATCGCATAGCTTTTGGGCAATAGGGATAACGCATGAGCTCGGGCATAGGAATCGCATAGCTGGGCATAGGGATCGCATAGCTGGGCATAGGAATCACATAGCTGGGCATAGGGATCGCATAGCTGGGCATAGGGATCGCATAGCTGGGCATAGGGATCGCATAGCTGGGCATAGGGATCACATAGCTGGGCATAGGGATCCCATAGCTGAGCATAGGGATCCCATAGCTGGGCATAGGGATCCCATAGCTGGGCATAGGGATCACATAGCTGGGCATAGGGATCACATAGCCGGGTATAGTGGATTGGAGTGCGTCTCCCTGCAAAACTTACCACCGAAGTTTACAGCCGGTAAAGCGAAGAATAAGAATACAGTTGGTTTAAGGATCATAAAGCTATTTGTAGACGGCACGTAGGAGACTGTATAGGTGACTATAACACTGATATTAGTCTGTAACTCCACTTCTAACCTACGGGAGCCTCCGTGGTGTAGCTAATAAAAAAAACAGCTATATGCCCCCCCCTTAGCCTGCGATTGATCTGAAGGTTCAGGGGTTTCGAGTCCTGATGCAGCCTGTCGACCCAACCTTAAATGGGTGCCAGGTGAAGTTCTGGGAAGTAAATTCACGTCATATGATGTGATTTTGATCCGTCCCCACTCGAGTGCCAGTGGTCTATAAAAAAATATAGGTCTAGCCCTATATGCCCAATGTTCCTGATGGCATGGGATAGGGTTCTTTATTGTACCTCTACCCTAGGACTACACATTTCATAGAGTCAGTGTAGTAGGAGACAATCTCATCAAGGCTGGTTTTCTCTCATTGCCCTTGTTCATTCCCCAGGTCAACTGCATTTGGGTTCCAGACGGAAAAAACGGGGTCACTGAGAGTGGGAGCAATCTGGGCAATAATCATCTTTGGGGAACTGGTGGACCTGCACTGTGCCATCCCTAGTTGCTTGTTAGCTGTTCTGCTGGCCTTCGCTGGGCCTGGCCAGTCTCTGGCTGCTGCCAATACAACTGGTGTTGATATACATTAGGAGTTGACTTAATCATGGCTTTTTTTTTTCTTGGTTTTTCCCGATAAATTGTTTTCTAAATTCGAGAATACATGGGATGAACACTGGAAGGGGAGGAAATAAGAGAAATGTCTGGGCAACCACTGGTGGGGTCAAACAGTTGAAAATATTTTGGGACACTTGTAAATGTGAGCACCTACGGATGTGTCTGGGTGCTGTATAAATAAAACTCATAACCTACTTATAAGACAAAGAAGACAGCAGTATTATATTGAGCAGAAGACGTGAGAAGAAACACAGGGGACACCAACATGCACTGAGATGGGTAACACATGGATTGAGGAGGCGAGGATGTCCAAAAGATATGCTAAAATAAGTGTTGGTAGGAAAGCCAAAAGTGCTGGACTGGATTCCGTTCATGATATTGAAAGGTCAGTACAGAATGGGTGAATGTTTTGCAAGTACTAGAAGATGATTATGAAATAAGAGAATGCTGTTTGAAACATATGTCCTGAAACTAAATTGTTCATCAGCTGATGTGGATAAAGAACATCAGTTGATGTGGATAAAGAACATCAGCTGATGTGGATAAAGAACATCAGTTGATTTGGATTAAGAACATCAGTTGATGAGGATAAAGAACATCAGTTGATGTGGATAAAGAACATCAGTTGATGTGGATAAAGAACATCAGTTGATGTGGATAAAGAACATTAGTTGATATGGATAAAGAATATGACTGAAGCTTTTTGTTATTGTTGTTTATACATCTGTAATGGTTGTATTTTCACATATCTATTACTGTATCTAGAAGCTGCAATTTAACTTTTCTATTTGTTGTCAATGCAACTGTTAATCAGTAATTATGTTGTTATGTTGTATTTGATCATCTTGTAATCCTGTGACCCCAGATTTTATTGTCCTTTTAAACCCCCTCTTGCCCTTTAGCCATAAAGCTTATTCTCTGTCCATCGTGATCCTGATCAACATGTAGCATTTTACCAGCCGATCTCCATGAAAGCTTTGGTCCTCCATGAAGGCTTTGGTCCTCCATGATAGCTTTGGTCCTCCATGTAAGCTTTGGTCCTCCATGTAAGCTTTGGTCCTCCATAAAAGCTTTGGTCCTCCATGATAGCTTTGGTCCTCCATGATAGCTTTGGTCCTCCATGATAGCTTTGGTCCTCCATGATAGCTTTGGTCCTCCATGATAGCTTTGGTCCTCCATGATAGCTTTGGTCCTGCATGTAAGCTTTGGTCCTCCATGAAAGCTTTGGTCCTCCATGATAGCTTTGGTCCTCCATGAAAGCTTTGGTCCTGCATGTAAGCTTTGGTCCTCCATGATAGCTTTGGTCCTCCATGATAGCTTTGGTCCTGCATGTAAGCTTTGGTCCTCCATGAAAGCTTTGGTCCTCCATGATAGCTTTGGTCCTCCATGATAGCTTTGGTCCTCCATGAAAGCTTTGGTTCTCCATGATAGCTTTGGTCCTCCATGATAGCTTTGGTCCTCCATGAAAGCTTTGGTCCTCCATGAAAGCTTTGGTCCTCCATGATAGCTTTGGTCCTCTATGATAGCTTTGGTCCTCCATGATAGCTTTGGTCCTCCATGAAAGCTTTGGTCCTCCATGTAAGCTTTGGTCCTCCATGAAAGCTTTGGTCCTCCATGAAAGCTTTGGTCCTCCATGAAAGCTTTGGTCCTCCATGAAAGCTTTGGTCCTCCATGAAAGCTTTGGTCCTGCATGAAAGCTTTGGTCCTCCATGAAAGCTTTGGTCCTCCATGATAGCTTTGGTCCTGCATGATAGCTTTGGTCCTCCATGAAAGCTTTGGTCCTCCATGAAAGCTTTGGTCCTCCATGATAGCTTTGGTCCTCCATGATAGCTTTGGTCCTGCATGAAAGCTTTGGTCCTCCATGATAGCTTTGGTCCTCCATGATAGCTTTGGTCCTCCATGATAGCTTTGGTCCTCCATGAAAGCTTTTGAAAGCTTTGGTCCTCCATGATAGCTTTGGTCCTCCATGATAGCTTTGGTCCTGCATGATAGCTTTGGTCCTCCATGATAGCTTTGGTCCTCCATGATAGCTTTGGTCCTCCATGATAGCTTTGGTCCTCCATGATAGCTTTGGTCCTGCATGATAGCTTGGTCCTCCATGATAGCTTTGGTCCTCCATGAATAGCTTTGGTCCTGCATGAAAGCTTTGGTCCTCCATGATAGCTTTGGTCCTCCATGATAGCTTTGGTCCTGCATGATAGCTTTGGTCCTCCATGAAAGCTTTGGTCCTCCATGATAGCTTTGTGTCCTCCATGATAGCTTTGGTCCTCCATGAATGCTTTTGGTCCCTCCATGATAGCTTTGGTCCTGCATGTAAGCTTTGGTCCTCCATGATAGCTTTGGTCCTCCATGAAAGCTTTGGTCCTCCATGATAGCTTTGGTCCTCCATGATAGCTTTGGTCCTCCATGATAGCTTTGGTCCTCCATGATAGCTTTGGTCCTCCATGATAGCTTTGGTCCTGCTGATAGCTTGGTCCTCCATGATAGCTTTGGTCCTCCATGAAAGCTTTGGTCCTCCATGATAGCTTTGGTCCTCCATGATAGCTTTGGTCCTCCATGATAGCTTTGGTCCTCCATGATAGCTTTGGTCCTGTCATGAAAGCTTTGGTCCTCCATGATAGCTTTGGTCCTCCTGATAGCTTTGTCTCCAGATAGCTTTGGTCCTCCATGATAGCTTTGGTCCTCCATGATAGCTTTGGTCCTCCATGATAGCTTTGGTCCTCCATGATAGCTTTGGTCCTCCATGAATAGCTTTGGTCCTCCATGATAGCTTTGGTCCTCCATGAAAGCTTTGGTCCTCCATGATAGCTTTTGGTCCTCCATGAAAGCTTTGGTCCTCCATGATAGCTTTGGTCCTCCATGATAGCTTTGGTCCTCCATGATAGCTTTGGTCCTCCATGAAAAGCTTGGTCCTCCATGATAGCTTTGGTCCTCCATGAAAGCTTTGGTCCTCCATGATAGCTTTGGTCTCTCCATGATAGCTTTGGTCCTCCATGATAGCTTTGGTCCTCCATGAAGCTTTGGTCCTCCATGATAGCTTTTGGTCCTCCATGATAGCTTTGGTCCTCCATGAAAGCTTTGGTCCTCCATGATAGCTTTGGTCCTCCATGATAGCTTTGGTCCTCCATGATAGCTTTGGTCCTCCATGATAGCTTTGGTCCTCCATGATAGCTTTGGTCCTCCATGAAAGCTTTGGTCCTCCATGATAGCTTTGGTCCTCTATGAAAGCTTTGGTCCTCCATGATAGCTTTGGTCCTCCATGATAGCTTTGGTCCTCCATGATAGCTTTGGTCCTCCATGATAGCTTTGGTCCTCCATGATAGCTTTGGTCCTCCATGAAAGCTTTGGTCCTCCATGATAGCTTTGGTCCTCCATGATAGCTTTGGTCCTCCATGATAGCTTTGGTCCTCCATGATAGCTTTGGTCCTCCATGATAGCTTTGGTCCTCCATGATAGCTTTGGTCCTCCATGATAGCTTTGGTCCTCCATGATAGCTTTGTCCTCCATGATAGCTTTGGTCCTCCATGAAGCTTTGGTCCTCCATGATAGCTTTTGGTCCTCCATGATAGCTTTGGTCCTCCATGATAGCTTGGTCTCTCCATGATAGCTTTGGTCCTCCATGATAGCTTTGGTCCTCCATGATAGCTTGGTCCTCCATGATAGCTTTGGTCCTCCATGATAGCTTTGGTCCCCATGATAGCTTTGGGTACCTCCATGAAAGCTTTGGTCCTCCATGAAAGCTTTGGTCCTCCATGAAAGCTTTGGTCCTCCATGAAAGCTTTGGTCCTCCATGAAGCTTTGGTTTCCTCCATGAAAGCTTGGTCCTCCATGAAAGCTTTGGTCCTGCATGAAAGCTTTGGTCCTCCATGATTAGCTTTTGGTCCTCCATGATAGCTTTGGTCCTCCATGATAGCTTTGGTCCTCCATGATAGCTTTGGTCCTCCATGATAGCTTTGGTCCTCTGAATGATAGCTTTGGTCCCTCCATGATAGCTTTGGTCCTCCATGATAGCTTTGGTCCTCCATGATAGCTTTGGTCCTCCATGAAAGCTTTGGTCCTGCATGTAAGCTTTGGTCCTCCATGATAGCTTTGGTCCTCCATGAAAGCTTTGGTCCTCCATGATAGCTTTGGTCCTCCATGATAGCTTTGGTCCTCCATGAAAGCTTTGGTCTTCAAGGAAAGCTTGGGTCCTCCATGTAAGCTTTGGTCCTCCATGATAGCTTGTCCTGATAGCTCTTGCGTCCTGATGATAGCTTTTTGGTCCTCTATGAAAGCTTTGGTCCTCCATGATAGCTTTGGTCCTCCATGTAAGCTTTGGTCCTCTATGAAAGCTTTGGTCCTCTATGAAAGCTTTGGTCCTCTATGAAAGCTTTGGTCCTCCATGATAGCTTTGGTCCTCCATGTAAGCTTTGGTCCTCCATGTAAGCTTTGGTCCTCTATGAAAGCTTTGGTCCTCCATGTAAGCTTTGGTCCTCTATGAAAGCTTTGGTCCTCCATGATAGCTTTGGTCCTCTATGAAAGCTTTGGTCCTGCATGAAAGCTTTGGTCAGACCTGTTCTTCGGTAGTGTAGTACCAGAGGCTTGCGAGTTTACATTTATCTGCAGATGAAATGAGGCCAAGATGTACCTCATCTTGTTATTTCCTTTTACCTACATTTCTTCAGCTACAAATCTGTTACTTTCTTTCTGACAGTCTCATTATTCCTTCAGCTAAAACCTCCATTAGTCTCTCATTAGATACGATTATTACTTTACTTATAGTTCTTTTTTTCCTTGCGTTGGTTTCGACAGTGGTATCGAGAAGCCGACCGTTCAGTGAGCAATGGCTACTGGACGTTAATTTGCTTAGAAAAACCACAACAGCCAAAAAATGCTGGGGTTGGTTCTACAACGTCCTTTAAAGGATACGCAACTAACTTTATAGATCTTTTATTTTCTAATTAGATCATATTATTCCTTCAGCTAAAACTCTGTT